GCGAGACTCTGTCCCAAAAAAAGAAAAAGAAAAAAATCAGCCAGGCATGGTAATTCTCGCCTGTAATCCCAGCTACTCTGAAGGAGGAAGGAGAATCACTTGAACCTGGGAGGTGGAGGTTGCAATGAACTGAGATCACACCACTGCACTCCAACCTAGGCAACAGAATGAGTCTGTCTCAAAAAAGAAAAAAAGAAAGCAGGCTCCAGGCTAGGCACAGTGGCTCACGCCTGTAATCCCAGCACTTTGGAAGGCCAAGGCAGGAGGATCATTTGAGGTCACGAGATCAAGACCATTCTGGCCAACATGGTGAAACCCCTTCTCTAGTAAAAATACAAAAATTAGCCAGGCGTGGTGGTGGCACCTGTAGTCCCAGCTACTCAAGAGGCTGAGGCAGGAGAATCCTTTGAATCTGGGAGATAGAGGTTGCAGTGAGCCAAGACCATGCCACTGCACTCCAGCCTGGGCGACAGAGCAAGGCTCCATCTCAAAAAAAAAAAAAAAAAAAAAAAAAGAAAAGAAAAGAAAAAATCACCCAGGGACAACACAGGGGGACTCAAGAGGAGACTAGTTGTCCCCCATGATGAGGCTTTCGTGGGACCAGTGATACCATTTTGAGGGTCACCATCAATTCCAGCAAAGAATTATTAATTGCCTTAAGAGTTTTATTTTATTTATTTATTCTTTAGAGACAGGGTCTGGAGTGTTGCCTGAAGTGCAGTGGTGTGATCAGCTCATAGTAACCTCCAACTCCTGGGCCCGAGCCCACCTCCTGACTCAGCCTCCTGAGTAGCTAGGACCACAGGTGTGCACCACTACGCCTGGCGTTATTTTCCTGGTGACACTCATCTCTCCCTGACTTGTGTGCCCCCAACCCTGACTAGAAACTGGGCCCAGTGGGGTGGGCCTGGTGTCAGTGTTAGCCGCACCCCAGGGCTCTCAGATAGAGCCCCATCTGTGAGCTTGTGACAGTGGGGAGCCCTCTGAGCCCCAGACTCACCTGGTTCCCCACTTTGTGGGCGATGACCACACTCCCTCCTTCAGTTCTGCATCGAGTGGGCGGATTCGAAGTGCCACCTGCAGGAGGCCACTGGGGCAACTGCATGGGGACTCTTCACCCTTGGGCCCCCAGCCTTGCAGCCCTGCCCTCCCTGGCCCTGTGGCTCTGGTACCTGCTCAGTGAATCGGTAAAGCAGCAGCGCAGCCCCATGCCCCTCAGGCGAGGCTCCAACTTCGCTCCCTCGGGGCTGCCTATATCCCCAGCAAGACGTGGCCTCCTTCACTGAGCAATGGGGAGGTTGGGGCACAAAGCGGAGAATGCCTGCCCAAGGCCTCCCAACCAGCGAACCTACACCTCCCAGTCCTGCTACCTCCAGAAGGGACGCTGAGCTCCTTCAGAGAAAACTTCCCCTAGGGGAAACTGTGGGCCTCGCTAACACCCCTCCCTGTTCTGAGGGCCAGACCCCAGCCTCAAACCCACCCCAGCTGCACAGGAGCCGTGGCCCCTGGACGCCCTTTTCCCCCTCTGTAAAAGGGATACATTTTTTGGTAGAAACAACAGCTGAGGGGCAGTTATGCCTGGCATCTCTCCTTACCCAGCCATAGCACTGGGGCAAGTCCCCAGCTCAGCTCACCACTGTGCAGTGGACAGAGGCTCTGAGGCCCCAAAAGACAGCCTGGATCAGGCTGGGGAGCCCGGAGCCTGCATGCCCAGGTGCCAGCAGCATGGGGATTAGGGGCAGAGAGGGTATCTGGAGGTCGTGGGGAAGAGCGGGGCAGCTAGGTCCCAGGGAGGGACAGTGGAGGAGTAAATGGGGCCTCATAACAGAAGGGTCACTATAGTGGCAGGTTGGGGAGGCAGCGTTGGGCACTCACAGCGGGGACAGCCAGGGAATGAGGGAGGGCACTCACCATGACTGGCTGGTCCTTGGACTACATCTCAATGCCAGGCTGCCCTGGGCTGGGGAGGGGCCTGCGACCTGGTAGGAGGGCATGGGCAAGGGACACACTCCCTGCTATCCCAGCAGAGGTGAGACCTGGCTGTGCTCAGCCCCACCCCTCCCCGGTGACATCAGCTGGACCTCAGGGGAGCTGGGCTGGCACCGGTCACGTGGTTGGGGCCCCAAGGAGCAGGATGGCCCTCCTGATCACATCTGCACACGGGGACAGCTCCAGAGACCGCGGTGGCCTCTATCTCCACACTCACTATGGCAACCCCAGGTTTCCATGTGCCTCACCTGGTGCACAAGCCGGCCTGACCCCCACCAGGATGCAGGTGGAGGGGCTGCCCCTCTTCTTTGCAGGGTGGGCACCCTGAGACCAGCAGAGACGCTGCCCACTCCAGGGGCCCCTCACACAGAGACCAGGGTGGGCCTGGAGCATTTCCCTTGAAGCAAATGGCAGCAGCTGAAGCTTCACGCGGCAACTTCAACTGCAACTGCCGTTTCCAACAGTGACTTTTTTTTTTTTTTTCTGNGGAGGGGCCTGCGACCTGGTAGGAGGGCATGGGCAAGGGACACACTCCCTGCTATCCCAGCAGAGGTGAGACCTGGCTGTGCTCAGCCCCACCCCACCCCGGTGACATCAGCTGGACCTCAGGGGAGCTGGGCTGGCACCGCTCACGTGGTTGGGGCCCCAAGGAGCAGGATGGCCCTCCTGATCACATCTGCACACGGGGACAGCTCCAGAGACCGCGGCGGCCTCTATCTCCACACTCACTATGGCAACCCCAGGTTTCCATGTGCCTCACCTGGTGCACAAGCCGGCCTGACCCCCACCAGTATGCAGGTGGAGGGGCTGCTCCTCTTCTTTGCAGGGTGGGCACCCTGAGACCAGCAGAGACGCTGCCCACTCCAGGGGCCCCTCACACGGAGACCAGGGTGGGCCTGGGGCATTTCCCTTGAAGCAAATGGCAGCAGCTGAAGCTTCACGCGGCAACTTCAACTGCAACTGCCGTTTCCAACAGTGACATTTTTTTTTTTTTTTCTGTCATCCAGGCTGGAGTGCAAACTTCACCTCCTGGGTTCAAGCAAGTATCCTGCCTCAGCCTCCCGAGTAGCTGGGATTACAGGCATGCACCACCATACCTGGCTAATTTTTGTATTTTTAGCAGAGACAGGGTTTCATGTTGGCAGGCTGGTCTTGAACTCATCTCAGGTGATCCGCCCACCTTGGCTTCCCAAAGTGCTGGAATTACAGGCGTGAGCCACCGCACCTGGCCTACAACCACATCGCTGATGCACTAGCCATGGTCTATGTGCCTTTCCCAGTCAGTGCTTGGATTGGCTATCACATGTATTAAATGCCTAAAGGTTGTGCTCAACATTTCCACTGGAAGTCAGGGGGAGGTCACCGCACTGAACCTGCACCGCCAAGGCGGACTATCCCCGCCAGGCTGTGTTAACCAGACTGCAGGACGACAGTGCCCAGAGCCAGGGTCAGTGCCAAGCACAGAAAACCACTCCCGCGGTGACAGAGATCACACCAAGGCCAGGCCGGGCACGGCACAACCCAAAAAAAGAGGAAAAAAAGAAATCACGCTAAGATCAGATCCATGCCATTCGAACCTCTCAGTCTAACTTGATGATTTCAACTACAGAGCTGAAAGGGCCCGGGGGTCCATTCCTGGCAGGTGGGGTACTCAAGCTCTCCCAAAAGCCACTGTACTGCGCCATTCCTGTACGCCAACTGGGGGGCAGGGGCAGCTCAGTTCAGAGGCCAGGGCATATGCTTGGCCACATCCAACTCTTCCTTGGTGTCCAGGTCAATGCTGTGCTGCAGGAAGCCCCTGCCAGGTGGATTCGGCAAGGAAGGGGCTGCCCCTCCAACATCCACGTCCCACTCCTCTAGGCTCCAGCGTCTGACCAAGGCACTTGCCAGGAACACATCCATGGGTCGCAACATTCCTGGCTGCCTCGGCCTCCTGAGACAACCAAGGCGTGCCTGCAGCAGAGGTCCCAAGCCCACCCTGATGTCCTGAGCCCAAAGCCCTGGGGACCCTGATACCCAGGAAGTCCCTCCACTGCAGGCCAGCTCTGGGAAATCCACATTGACCATGGCAAAGTGAAAACCAGCACAAAGTCTTCAGAAATTCTTTACGAATTATATGGAACAATTACAACTAGTGAATTTACAACAGTGAAAACTTAATTTTTTTAGAAGCTCTGTTAAAAATTTGTCATATGGTAGAACTGTGTGTCTTTCTTCTTTCCATGAAATCAGAAAAACTGTTTCTTGGCACACTAGAGTTTAAATGCATGAGTTTAAAGAGCATGAACATAAACAAGAATTACTAATAAAATGTGCACTGAAGGGGCACAGGATAAACGGCAGGATTAGAATTTTAAAAACGCAGATAAATGTTAAGGCTCATAAAAAAGAAAATGTACCAAGGCACCCTCCTCATACCCAGGAAACTCAGCGGGACCCGAGGCCCCGGGCTGCTCCTCCAGGCTGGCAGGCGCCCGGGTCTTCCGCCCTGTGAACTACAGCCCCATCGCCTTAGGTTTGTAATGGTCCCTTGGCTGTGAGTTGAATGCTGCCTCAGGTTCCACAAGTTGAAAAGCGGTGGATGAAATGCTAGGTCACAGGTGCCAATGGGAAGTGAGACCCTGCAAACAGAAGGGGTTGAAACTCCCCCCATTTGTGTGCTCCTTCCCAACAGGAAGCCCGCTCAGTACTACAAGAGGACCGCGTATAAGTGGGCAGAACTGACCATCCTCAACACACGTTTCCCAATGTGTCTAACGCCAAGCAAAGGCCACAGGGTTCTCACCAGGGAAAATGACCAGCACCTTTCACAGGAAACAACAGAACGGAAGAGATTGTGGCGTGACTGACCAGCAAACTGCTGGATGCAGGGCGGCCAAGTGTGCCCGACGACCAGATGGGACGGCACCCTGTGGAGACCTGGCTTGGCAAGCAGGCACCTGCCACTGAGGAGGGAGGCAGGCAACAGGTTCAAGGTCGCTATCTACATTCAAAGAGAGGAGAAAGACGGCTTTTTCATACAAGTTTGCTTTTATTTCCACGTTCAACCTGTGGAGAAAACTGGCCACCACCTGCACAGTGGGGGTACGAGGCGTGGCAGTGCCCCCCCGGCGGATCTCCGGCACATGTCCAGCACTACGCGCGACAGGGACACAAGTCCTTCAACGGAAACACCGCTCAGCTGTGGATGGGCACCGTGGAAACACCACTGGCTGCGGAAGAAGATGCTGCTGGTGACGCTGCTAGAGTCTACGGAGCCAACGCAGGTGGTTCCGACAGAAAACCCCAAACAAGAAAGAAGTGGAAGTGGTGCCTTAAAACCCCCCACTGTAGACGCCAGGGGCTGAAAGGCACAAAAATGTGTTGCAATGGCAGAATCCCAGGCGTGGTCACAGTCCAGAACACGGGGAGGCGGTGGGAGTCGAGCAGGCTTCCTGCAGGGCGGCCTCCGCTCCACACCACACGCGCTACAATGCAGCAGAGGAACCTCGCTCCTGCTCCGTCCTGAGCCAGGTGGGGTCAGCTCAGTGGCTCCGTCCCCTGGACGGACAGGCATGGCGGCCCTAAAAAGCACCGCCTGAAAAGGCTGAGGGGCTGCTGAATATCGCTTTGGGGCTGACATTGAGTCTGGCAACAGGAGTCACCTTGGCCACAGAGAACTGAGCCTGTGTGCCACCACCTGTCACTCATGGTCCCGCCCTGGGGACAGCAACCAGGCCATCCTCAGGCACCCCCAAGTCCCAGGGACTTAAGCCTTCTGTCCCACACATGCCTGCGCTGTGAGGCGTGGAGGCCCCCAGGACTCAGGAACTCTCCAGCCCCCAACGGGGAAGGCTTGTCTCGGAACAGGCTGGTGGCTGCTGGAACCAGAGTTGCAGCCACGCACGCCAGTGTTTTTTTCTGGTGGAAACACCGCGGCCGTCATTAGCAAGGGTGTCGGCAAATGGCCAGGCACAGCCACCCTCCTCTTCCTCGCACTTCCCAGCACCTGGCGACCGCGCCTCTCTCACCCAGCACTGCCTGAAAGGCACCATCTGCGATGCAGTCAGAGGGCACAGCCAAGGCCAGGTCGGCACCAACTCCACATTTCACACAAGGCTCAGCTAACCCTGAGCACGTAACACTGGGGCTTCACCCCTGCCTTAAAGGAGGTGCTTTCTCAGTGAGATAAGAGAAGCAGCGTGAGAGAAGCCAACAGGACCCCCATCACACCTCCCCATAGAGGCTCACCACAGAGCTCCCCGGTCACTCCTGATTCCTGAGGGGGATGATTTCTTCAGTGACAAAGAATTCTATGGTCTCCTCTTCCCAGTCGTCCACATTGCTGTCCAGCTCATCAGTGTCCACCCCTGAGGGGACAAAGGGCACGGGTCACCCGCCGAGGCCAGTGGGAAGAACACAGGAATTCGTGTCCACCTGGGCCCATGGCGGCAGAATGGCCAGCTGGTGACTGAGGGATCTCAAAGTCACCTCCTCGCAGCTCCAGGCGCTCGTTTTTCTGCTCCATATACAGCTCCTGGGCCATCTTCCGGTACTTCCGGAAGTCTTCCATCATGGTGCGCCTTCTCTCCACCAATTCCTACGCACAAGGGTGGGGAAAGCCACAGAACTGGTGACACCTGCCTCGCCATTGCCAAGAGCACACACCCGGGGACAGAGCCAGGACAATGGCATTTGGAGGTGCTCAGGCAGGAATGGCAGTCCATTTGTTCTCATTTCCCCCCAACACCGCCCCCGCCCACAGAACAGCAGTGAGGCCGCCAACTCCAAGTCCCCGTGCCAACCCCTGTCCCCCACTGCATCCCTCCTAGGAGGAAAACAGAACCAGTGTCTTCGGGGCAGAAGCAACTCTGAGCAGACACACAGCAGCCCCCTCGAAGCCTGACGTGAACCCGCCTTTGCTGTGATGGTGGATGTCGCAGCATGGCTCTCACTTCAGGGAACGAGGCTCACCTTTGAGGCTTTGGACTGGCTCAAACGATCCTTCTGTTCAAAGATCTTAGAGTATTTCTTCAGGTTCTTTTTAATTTGCTGAAACAAAAGACTACTGTCACTCAGGATTTAACATTCGAAGCAAGAAGCACAAACGCAATCTTCAAAGTTGCCGCCATGAAGTGACATCCAGAGTCATTAACAGAACACAGTGCCCCCGGAGTGCTCGCGCCTGCTGTCTCTTCCCTGTTTCACGTTGAGACTGACTTTCTTCCTGGGATTTAACCCTCCTCTTCGTTCTGACCTAATATCATCGGCCTATTTTACCATCATTATGTAAATCCCAGACAAGTCGCTTTCTAATCCCACCAGGACTTTTTAATAGCCCCTGGCATCTTTTTATCCACCCCTCAGGTTCATGTAAAACTTCCCTCAACAAGCTGAAGACCTCAGTTTACTCTCCTAAAGCTGTTCTATTCCATTCAGTTTTCACTGTTCCCTCGTCTCTTCAAAGGGCCTAGCCCCCAGTCACCACCCTAACCACTTTTCCTTTCAATGCCATAACCACCTCCACATGCCCTGCACCTGAGGGTGGGGGGCGCTGACCTTGATCTGCTCCTGGCTCAGGAGTGTTGGAGGCCGGGGCCGCCACAGCAGCTGGCAGAAGCAGTCCTTGTTGTTCTTCTGCAGGAGGCGTCCCTGGAAAGTCCACAGCCAGTACGTGTTGTCCACCTAGGCCAGGGCAGGGACACACCAGGACATAAAAGGGTCAGCAGAGCCACAACAGTGACTATGTCACTTGCTGAACAAGGTCCTGGATATCGGGGACACGTGTGAACCAAACAAAGCTCTACCTTTGCTGAGCTGACATTCAGCAGGGGAGGTGGTCAGTAAATGAAAGACACAAAATACGTAATCAACCCATAGTGCAGGGCGCACAGCAGCTGGAGCAGCGCTCATCATAGCACAGGCCTACGCGCTCCTGCTGGCAGCAAGAACCCCGCGCCGGATGTAAGCTAACTGCATCACCACATGCCGCTCAGTTCCACTCTCTTCATAGCATGACTCTCTCATGAAGGACGGCGCCGTCACTGGCACCCAGGATAAACTCCCTATGACAGGCTGGCATTGTGGGAGCTAAGTGTTTATACCTCAAGCAGAGTGGTCAATAGCTTACAAGGTCTTTTCTTTTAATGGGGTTAGGGTTTCACTACGTTGCTCAGGCTAGTCTCAAACTCCTGGACTAAAATGATTCTTCTGCCTCTGCCTCCTAAAGTGGTGGGATTCCAGGTGTGAGCCACTGTGCCTGCCCTAAAGTGGTGTCAAGGTAGGCCCCACTACAGTGACATATGAACATACCTGGACCCAGGCCGTCATCAACACACCCTGATTTAAATGTGAAGATTTCTAAGTCTAGACACTTGTAGTAATATTTGATAAGTGGGTATTCCTAAAAGTTCAGTATCTCATTCACTAAAATTACCCTAATTTGATCTCATAGACTCTATTTGCATGGACAGTTCAAGTGTCAATACCTCCATCAACTTTCTAAAAGTCACTAAATACAAGAAGTCCTCGGCAAACTTAATCAGCAGTTTTTGAATAAGAACTTGTGGGTAAGGCGGCGGCTGGACTTGACCACTGACTCCAAAGAGGTCTTCATGTCTGAGGTTATGGAACTGTTCAGACTTTAAAGGAAATGACTCCTCTCTGCAGAAAAACACTCGTGCATGACACACTCATACTCCCTTTCAGGGGTCCCTGGGCCCCAGGGTAAGACCCCCCACCATGAGCAGGGGCTGCTCCCGCCACCTCTTCTACAACCCAGAATCCTCTTCCTCCTGCCACGAACACCAGTTGAGGCTTCTGTTAAACACCAAGGCTTAGTGCCCCTCCCTGAGGTCCCAGGACAGCACCAGAGTCAGTGGCCAGCCAGCACTCCCTGCTTCTATCCACAGCCAAAGCTATGCCCTCGGGCCGGCACCTTATGGCTCCACCAGGTCACAGAGGTGACGACATAGCACCCGGTAGGATCCCACTCAACATCAGAGGCCATGTAGTGCTCTGCGATGTTCATGACAGTGCAGTCTGAAGTGTCCACAAATGCTAAGGCACCATTCATACTGCAGAGACAAATGGGACTGTGAGGTTCACGGTGACGCATTCTTCCCGACATCCCACTCCTGAGAGGCACAGCATGGGGTCCCCAGGGAGCCACCCTTGGCGTTAACGTGGAAACAAGCACAGCAACAGCCTCTGGTGGCCACTGTGAGACTTACACATCACAGCTTGCAGAGTGTGCAGTGAGTATTACGCATGTCTGCCATCACTATTATTTTCACAGGAAATGTTATCTGAGGCTAAGTAAGCCTCCAAAATTACAGTAACAAGTGTCGACAATGAAGCAAGGGAGAGCAGCGACAAAAGGATATTCTTTTAACTCAGAGCAGAAAGCTGGAAGCTTCTCCACAATTTTGACACACTGCTGGAACGCAGCTAAGACCCATACCATGACACCAACCACAGAGGTAAGGCAGCCTCACAGAACTAACACCCTCCGGCTAGAAGAGAGGGGATTGACCTCCTGGGGCGGGGACAGGGATGTAACTGGATTGCTGGAAGGCACTTGTTTAACCACGAAAGAACCACAACCCACAGACTGGTCAGCCTGTCACTTCACAAAAGCATCTGCGAGTGCTTATTTCCATCTGCCCTGGCTTGGCCTCAGTCTTGGAGTGTCATGGATCCGCAAAGGTTCAATAATGTCCCATCCAGCCGGGCGCAGTGGCTAAAGCCTGTAATCCCAGCGACTCAGGAGGCTGGGGCAGGAGAATTGCCTGAACCTAGGAGGCGGAGGTTGCAGTGAGCCGAGATCGCGCCATTGCACTCCAGCCTGGGTAACAAGAGCGAAACTTTGTCTCAAAAAAAAAAATAAAAAATAAAAAATAAAAAAAATATAATGTCCCATCCACTGACCCCGGGGTAAATCCTTTCTGTGTGCAACACTCCCTCTGCCAAGAAGTGGGAGGAGGAGCCAGGGCGCAGGGTGCAGGCGCCTGAGGGGTCTCCGCTGCAGCAGGCAGAGCGCTACTCACGAGGCAGACAGGCTCAGCGCGCGGACACCCACCTCCTCAGGCCCGCCAATACCACAAACTGTCCTTGGGGGCTCCAGAAGATGGTGTTTGCTTGCTCCTTGTCGAACATCTCTGAAAGGAAACAGAGTGCTCGTCAGGAGCTGTGAGGGCTTTCACCCCAGGATGAAGTAAGGAACCAAGGGCAGTCAAGGCTGGGGGGCTTGGCCGTCGCTCACGCTACCCACGTGGGCACAGCTGGGAATGCCCGACCACCTCGGAAAACAATTTTACAAAATCCATCGCTAAGTACCCCTTAAGTCATAAACCATGCTTTAAATGGGGGAGAAAAAAAAGGGGCAGGGGTATTTCAAAGCAAAACTATTTTCCTATTTCCTGAGGGAAATGGACAAAGAATTCCCTTTACAGCAAATGTTCATTGCTGCAGGGACCACAACAGGGAGAGGATGTCGGAGACGTGTGACCCTGGAAGACCAAAGCCACTTTCCTAGCGAGAAGACATCTTTGGAGAAGCTGTATGCTTGTTGAAACTGTCTACAGTCATCATCTTTCCAGGTTCTAAGTCTTACTTCCGGAAAGTACCTCGGGCAGAGCCGCTGCAGCAGTGAGAAGTGAAAGCCAGCCGGGCTGGGCTCAAGTCCCCCTCAGAGCTTGGTCAGACAGAGCTGACGACCTGCAGCCTCTCTCTCCTTAGCCTGTGGTACATCCAAAAAAGAAGCTGGGGCAGGATATGGAGGGGAGGAGATGTGGGAAGGGAGACGCACCCCAGCAGGGGCAGGGGTCTCAGACCTGCACCAACAAAAAACCCCAGCAGCCACAGGCACGGGATAGAACCCACACGGTGGCCGCAGAGTCTATGCCAAACCTCAGGAGAGGCGCGTCATACGTGTTTGGAAGGTACAGGGTACTTCTGCTTGCTGTCTGTCTTATGATCTAGAAGACTGATACAAGTCTCTGGACAGTCTGCAACTGCCCGTATGTTTCCACCAAAGAGAATTAATGATACAGCCCATCTTGTGATCTACTGCCAACTGAGAGCACCACGCACCTGCCAAGCTCCAGCAAAGTGAAAACGAAACTAAACTCCTCACAGAATCATGTTGCAAAAGGTGAGGCCATGAGATTCCAGCGCTTTACAGGTACAGGGCCAAACCCACAGCTCTGCAGGTGGGCATAAGGCAGCCAGTCGTTTGCGGGAGGAACACAACCCCTTGCTACCTCCCGGCTGCCACACACATACACACCACGCCTGTGAAGCAACAGGCAATGGTTCATTCCATCCCCAAGGGCGCCGGGCTCTATGCTGAGCAGAGACCCCGGATGAAGTGCGGAGCCAAGGGCAAAGATGGCAGATGCCATGAGACAGGCGAGCGCCACCGCACCACTATGAGGAGCAAGCCCCAGGTAGGTGAGTGTGGTAGCTCTGGAACCAGGTGCATGGGGGCAAGGCACAGCCGCCTGGAACAGCTCTGCACTCCCTGCAAGGTCAGAGGCACCCGACCCAGACTGGGGACTGGCGGGAGCATGTCCACAGGAAGTCACCCCAAGCCCAGAGACAGCAGCTACAGCCATAAGAGAAACAGCTTCACTTGAGACAATGACAGAGAACAGAAGCCTTGGAAATACTTGCTTAAATATGAGGGCCCAATGGGGCTCAGAGAGGCGCCCTGCCCCGCAAGGAGGCTGCACCACTGGGCCATGGCTCACTGCCGTCAGCCGAGTCCACTGGGCCCCCATTCCCAGGCGAGTCCTGCCCAGCAGTGGTCCTAAGCCAGTCAAATGCTCACTGCTGGGCGACTGGGTCCTTATCCGTCTGATCTGTTCAGAAAAGGAAAGGGACCAGGCTACTTACTGATGAGTTCAATCTTCCTGTTGTTTTTGACATGGTAGAAAGATACAGATATCCGCGGAGCCTCTCCATGCAACACAGCACATTTACTTCCATTAGGTTCCCAGGCAAAGGCTGTGATGGTTTCTAAAATTGACGAAAGAGACCACTCCCTTTTTGGTCAATTCAGAACAGAATACTCTTAATCAGTTAAAATGTTCACTATTCAACCAGAGAGAAATAGCCCTCAACATTTAAAAGTTAATTACAAGGACCACAAAGCAAGCATCAGCAGGAAAAGGTGCACATTCCCAGAGTTTCAGAGGCAGCTGCCTTCACTCGTGTGAATGACCTATGTGAAACTGTTCCCTTCCTAAGAGCAGGATACCCAAGGTGGGACAAGGAGCCTGACATCGCAGGCAGCTGTGGATGCCACTTGCTTTGCACCTAGTGTGGCGTCTACAGTGGAATCCTGGCTTCCTGTCTCCCTGCCTGGCAGGGTGGCCAGGTTTGACGTTTGCTCACCTCTCTATTTTTCTCCTTCCTTCCTCTTTGTTTCTATAGCAAAACAAAAAGCCATACAAGAACACAGGCTGCATTTCTTCTCTCGTTTCTGTAGACAGGGTCTTGCTGTCACCCAGGCTGGAGTGCAGTGGCGCAATCTCCGCTCATAGCAACCTCCGCTCCTGGGCTCAATTGATCCTCCCACTTCAGCCTCTCAAACAGCTGGGACTATAGGTGTACACCACCACACCTCGCTAATATCTGTATTTTTTGAACAGAGAGGGTCTCACTACGTTGCCGAGGCTATAAAAACATTTTGTGACCTGGAGATGGCTATTAATGGTGAGAGTTCACAGTCGTGATTCCATTGCTCAGACAACGCACTAGCAGGAAAGTGTTAAAAGCCAAGTGCAAAACAGCACGTAAGGCCCATCCAACTAAAATGACTAAAATAAAACCTGCCTTTCACTTCGACCACATCCACAGGTACCTGTTTTTCCCTCATTCAGAAAATTTCAAAATTTGTGACAACACCCTGTTTTAAAAAAAAGGAGGGAAGGGGTGACATTCTGGACATTGAAAACATGAGAAAAAGGTTTAAATCAAAGGACAACTTCATAATGAAAGATTCGATTTGCACGCCTGGTTCGCACACACGAACATCTGCCATGATGGCAGCCGCAGCCCTCAGGAGAGAACACAGTTCTAAGGCTGGAGGGGAACTGCCGGCACCCCATCTAGAGGCAGCTACCTGACATGCATGAAATAATCCGACCAGATCCCACCTTCAGGAGCCTCCCTGCCCTCCACACTCTGGCACAAGCAGTCCCAGGGTCCTCACTACAGTCTGCGTGCCAGGTCCACAGGGCCCAAAAGGCCCACCCATGGGGCTGGTGAAACTATTTCAGACAGTGGGGGTGTTCTGCAGCCATGACCTTCCAGAAGTCCTGCCCCACTCCAGGAGTCTAAGGGGAAACCGCCCCAATGTCCACCAAAAGAGGAAGGAGGCAAAGAAACGTGGTCCACCCAACAGCAGATTCCTGTTCAGACTCAACACCGTGGACAAGCCGTAGGAAAACTGCTCCATGAAGGAGTTAAGACACAGAGGCTGCAAACTATGTGATTCCAGCTGCGAGTCTGGAATAGGGAAGTCAGAGACATTAGTGATGCCAGGAGCTGGGCAGAGAGACTGCTAATAGGTATGGTGTTTCTTTGTAGAGTGATGAAAACGTTTCTTATTTTTTATCTTTTAAAAATTATCTATAGAGATGGAGTCTCACTGTATTGCCCAGGCCGGTCTGAAATTTCTAGCCTCAAGTTATCCTCCCTCCCACTTAGGGTGAGCCACCTCGCCCAGCCAATGAAAACACTGTGAAATGAGTGATGGTGGCTGCACAACCCTGTGAACACACTAAAAGCCGCTGAACTGCCCCACCACTTTAAAGAGTGGAATACTTCCATTAGAGGAAAAACTCAGACAAGTTTTCATAAGGTAAATATTAATTATCAACTATATGCACAAAAAATCTGAGTATGCTACTCTTTGTACTTAGAAAGAAAATAATATTCTCAACCAGGCACAGTGGCTCACCCCTGCAATCCCAGCACTTTGGGTGCCCAAGGTGGACGGATCACCTGAGGCCAGGAGTTCAAGACCAGCCTGACCAATATGGTGAAACTCTGTCTCTACTAAAAATACATAAATTAGCTGGGTGTGGTGGCAGGCACCTGTAGTCCCAGCTACTGGGGAGGCTGAGGCAGGAGAATCACTTGAACCCAAGAGGTGGAGGTTGCAGTGAGCCAAGATCGTACCATTGCAATCCACCCTGGGTGACAGAAAAAAACACAAAATGATATTCTCATAGCAATCAATATAGAAAAAAGGTGGATGTCTGGGGACCTTTTACTGTATTCTTTTGTGAACTCTAAACCATGTGACTGTAATATCTATTCAAAACTTATTTTGGAGACAGTGTCTTGCTCTGTGGCCCAGGCTAGAGTAGAGCGGTGCAGTGATGGCCCACTACACCCTTGACCTCCTGGGCTCAAGCAATCCTGCCTCAGCCTGCCAAAGTGTTCAGATTCTAGGCATGAGGCACCACACCCAGCCTATTTGAAAAACTTTTCTTAAAAAAATAATTGTACTCTTCAAATAGAAAATGCCAAGATCTCTAACTAAGACTTGCCAGTTATATCAGGAAGGTATCAAAATAACCCACAAATCTGAATTTAAAAATCCATTAACAGCCTCCAAACAATACAGTGGTCACTGAAGAGCAAAGGATAAGGAACCTCCATTTCCCGTGGGCACCCACGTACCTGGGTGCCTTTCGGAGTCCTGTCTACTTTCACACACAAGTGGTCTCCATTCTTCTACCAATGCAGCTTGCAATCCACCACATTGAACAGGTTCCTCACTCGGATCTCTTGCCTGGTAGGCAGCTGCATCAGGGTTACCCTGGCTGGAATATCCTTGTCTTCAGGCACCCAGAAGGCTATTATGTTACCACCAGGAGACCAAGAAAAGTCTCTGCAGATCAGGAAAATAAAATGTTACAGCAAAGACCAAGTGATGAGGAAACTGAAAAGCAGAAGAGAATAAAACAACTCATTTGCTGTACAGAAGCTCAATGCCGTCACAGCTGACGCTGAGCGCTCACTCCGCACATCACACACTGCTCTGGGCATGGCGCACAGCTTCACAGGTCTTCACCAGGACCCTGGGGCATTACTGCGCTCACCGTAACAGGGAGTGAATGCAGACAAAATATGAGCAACCCCACCGTCACGCACAGACTCTATAGACTCCAGCCTGGGCTCCGTCAGCCCACTCTTAGACACCACATACTGCTGCTTTGAGGCAATTTAGGCTGGCAGATCCAGCTATCTGACATCTAAAGATTAATTAAGGTGTCAAAGGGGAAAACGGCAAATCAAGTGTAAGCAATGAGCAAGAACGAGGGCTACTCCCTCCAATGGATCAAGTGCTCAACAGAAGAGCTGCTGGAAGGAACGGTTCCTGAGCTCACCTACGCGAAAAACAGCTTTATACACGCTATGTGCTCTGTTTTGCGTTTACTGAGAACCAACGTTCTGGTCTTCTTTTTATTTTGTTAGCCATAATTTTGCCCCAAAATGTAAAAATAAAAGGAGTAAGAAACGACAATGTCCTTGGATTGCTGGTACAAGTTCACTGCCGTGATACTGACCAGTTCCAAGAGTTTTCTGATAAATAAAAATGTGCCCATTCTTTGATAATGAGAATGAGCTGAAGGCTCCCCAAACTCTGCCTCAGACAGAATAGTAATAGGAAAACCTTTCGCTTAAGCAAAGTCCCCTCTCTTCCTTAAAAGGCTGGAACCACCCTCCCAGTTTCTAGGTCGAAGATGAGGTAGATGGAAGGAAGCCAACTCAAGACTCTGGCCTTGAAGATTCATTTCTGGGCACAGAAAGGAGAGTTGCTGAAGTGGTGTCTCGAGGGTGGTGGGCCCAGCGCGGAGCAGCCTTGCTGCCCATCAGCTCGAGGCTTCATCCTGGCATTCAGAACAAACTCACCTTAGGATGGGCACAGTGGCTCACGCCTATAATCCCTGCACTTTGTGAGGCCAAGGGAGGCAGGCAGGCAGGCAGATCACTTGAGGTCAGGAGTTCAAGACCAGCCTGGCCAACACGGTGAAACCCCTCTTCTAAAATATACAAAAAATTAGCTGAGCAGGGTGATGCGCCCCTGTAATTCCAGCTACTTAGGAGGCTGGGGCACCAGAATCCTTTGAACCCGGGAGGCGAAGTTTGCAGTGAATCGAGATCATGTCACTGTATTCCAGCCTGGGCAACAGAGCAAGACCCTATCTCAAAAAATATTAAAAAATGGCTGGGTGTGGTGGCTCATGACTGTAATCCCAGCGCTTTGGGAGGCTGAGGCAAGACCAACTTGGCCAACAGTGAAACCCCATCTCTACTAAAAGTAAAAAAATTAGCTGGGTGTGGTGGTGGGCACCTATAGTCCCAGCAACCCAGAAGGCTGAGGCAGGAGAATGCCTTTAACCCGGGAGGCAGAGGTTGCAGTGAGCAAAGATCATGACACTCCAGCCTGGGGGACAGAGTGAGACTGCCTCAAAAATAAAAAAAAATAAAAAAATAAAAAAATATTTTTAAAAAAGAACAAGCTCACCATGTTCTCTCCAACTGGCTAAGAACTGAGTGCTAGGCTGGGTGTGGTGGCTGACAACTATAATCCCAGCACTTTGGGAAGCCAAGGCAAGTGGATCACAAGGTCCGGAGTTCGAGACCAGCCTGGCCAATATGGTAAAACCTTGTCTCTACTAAAAACACAAAAATTATCCAGGCATGGTGGTGCACACCTGTAGTTCCAGCTACTTGGGAGGCTGTAGCAGGAGAATCGCTTGAATCTGGGAGGCAGAGGCTGTGTTGAGCTGAGACTGCACCACTGCACCTCAGCCTGGGTGACAGAGCAAGGCTCCATCTCAAAAAAAAAAAAAAAAAAAAAAAGTACTAAACGAGAGAGCAAATAAAGGAAACCAACTGCAGTAGAAAACATCTATGAACCCCAAATTCGGAGGCTGAAATTCTAACCCCTGGGGTGATGGCATTAGGTGGGGGCTTTGGGAGCTGAGCAGGTCATGAGGATGAAGCCCTCAGGAATGAGATGAGGACCTTTACAGAAGTGGACCCAGAAGCCTTCCACCAGGTGAGGCTGGACTGAGGGGCTGTCCACGAGGAAGTGGGCCCTCCCCAGTCTACAGGCGCGGTGACCTCGGGCTCCCAAACTCCAGAACTGGGAGAAAGACATCTCTGCTGTAATAAGCAACCAGCCTTTGGTATTATGTTAAGCAGCCTGAACACACTGAGATGCCAAATTGATAAGAACACTCGCTTTACCCCAGAGATCTTCAAACTCTTCTTGTCTAGAAGACCCATAGATTGGCCAAAAAAAGGGGAAGGTTACAGTTGAGTCAAATCGTGTCAGTGTCTCAGTAACACATAACTTTTCACAAAAGGAAACAAGTCTGATGTGAGTTTGCTTAGGGAGCACCGCGCGGCGAGGGTGACGGTGAACCCACCCACCCATCCACCACCGCAAGCTCCAATTCCAAAGCTCACTGCATTAACTCCCATCCAGGACTTCCCACAGCGGCGCAGGTGGGACTAAAGAGCTTCACCCAGAGCAGGAGCAGTTAGAACAGTGCAGGAGACAGGCCACTACTGCCATCTGTGAAACCTCCTCCTCCTCTTCTAGCACAAGTAAGTAAAGGCACCACATCCCAATTACAAGCAAGGACGGGATGAGTGTTTCCTATCACTGAAGCCACTTACAGGAGTTTCATAG